AAGCCAGTCCAGGACTTGGGGGCCATTACAGCTAACCATGCTCATCTCAGGAAGCCAACATTACCTTGTTCATCCTGCTTAGGACTTGAGACATTGGGGAGTAGGGATGGAGTCAGAAAGAAACTAAGTCCCAGAGCAAGCCTGTTGTCTCCCAAATCATTTGGTCCATGAATAACACAGATTGGATGCCACAGCCATCTGCAGGCATCTGTCTGCAGCCCAGGAGAAATCACCTGGGCAGAGGCTTCACCCTTGATCTCTGGGGCCACCATTGTTTACAGGTCTCAGAGCCCACCCTCCCCATGCATTCTCTTCCCTTCCTTCCCCATTTTCTCCACCCTCCACTGTCAGAGACCTGTAACCCCAGAACCTTCCTCCTAAGTCCCTAGCCCAGGCCACCTGCCACCAACCAGGCGATATTAAACCTGTGCCAGGCTGGATTAGGCCCATCATTTCCTTCCCTCTCTCCATGTTACTTACAATCTCACATGGAACAACACCCCTCCCTGTACCACCCATACCCCCAGCACTACCCAAGGTAAACACTATGAGAAAGGCAGGAAAAATGGGCAAGATCTGAGGTGTTGGGGAAGAAAGAAAAGAAAACGGCCTCCTTTGGTGCTACCTACATTGGATTTTCTGCTCTGTAAACAAGATTCAGCCTCCCTACCCCTCACTTGAAACTCCATCTCTGGAAGGCCCAGACCAGCCATCCAAGCAAAGAGACAGCCAGATACTTTTTTGGGGGGGACACTTTTTTTGGTACTGGGGACTGAACCCAGGGGTACCTAACCACTGAGCCACATCCCCAGCCCTTTCTTTAATATTTTATACGGAGATAAGATCTTGCTGAGTTGCTTAGGGCCTTTCTAAGTTGCTGAGGCTGGCTTTATTATATATAGTTGTCAATGGAACTTTATTTATTTATATGTGGTACTGAGAATCAAACCCAGTGCCTCACACATGCTAGGCAAGTGCTCTACTACTGAGCCACAACCCCAACCCTGAGGTTGGCTTTGAACTTGCAATCTTATCTCCGCCTCCCAAGCTGCTGGCATCACAGGCTTGCACCACTGTGCCCAGCTTGGACACATTTTTGTGTGCCCAGAGGATCCATCCAAGAACCTGGGCATCCTGCCTATCTGCATTCAAATCACACAGCTCTCCCACTTTCCATCCTTGTGCATCCTTGGGCAACTCACAAAAATCTCAGCGTCATGTTCCTTACCTGTGAAACAGAGATAATAAAACTCACCATCTCAGGTTGTTATAAAAAACTAAAAATAATGTCTCAACAAAGGAGCCTGTTCCCCGGGCCTAGGGCTCAGTGTCCTCAGAGATGCCCTTAAAGACGCTGAGTACCTTTGTGTTCCCACTCTGAAAATATACCTGGAACAGTCATTGTGACCCCTTTACCACCATGCCAGAAGGACTCATCCCATTTGGGGAGCCCTCTACCATCCCAAACCAGATCTGATTCTCCCAGGCTTTACCTGGGACAGTGGTTTTCACTTTCTATATGCATCCTAGCCCCAGCCCCCTAGGGGCTGTTATCCAGGGAAGATGAGAGAGCAGGGCCCCAATTGCAGTGGAAAGGGAGGTTGGGGCTCCTGGGACCTACCACAGAAATGTTTTACAATCCTCCCCCATTGAGCTTTTGAAAAAATGATGATCCAGTAAGAGCAGCGATGGTGTGTGATCCATTAGCGAATGAGGTAGGCGCAGCCTTCGGCCTTTTGGCTCTCTTAGCTGAAAATCTAGTCAGTCCTAGGCAGAGAGCCTGGGGAGGTCTGAGCCACGGGAGTCCAGGCTTGTCCCTGCAGATCGTGGAGCTGGGGATGCATGGAGGACAAGGTAGGTGAGTCGGGCTCCTGGGAGTTTGGTTCCCTGGCAATAAAAGCCAAGTTGGGGAGTAGCTCCCAAAAGAGTCTCAGGCAGAGCCAAGATGCTGTTCTTCCAGAAGGAGTGTTTAATTGGATTTGGAACCCATGCTGGGACTTGGTGGGGCTTGGGGCTGAAGGCAGAAGCAGAAGTGGGTCAGGCATGATGGCACACTGATGGTACACCCCTGTAATCCCAGCAACTCAGGAGATTGAGGCAGAAGGATCCCAAGTTCAAGGCCAGCCTTGGTAATTTAGTGAGACCTATGTGAAAATTAAAAATAAAGGACTGGTGATATAGCTCCAGTATCAAAAAAAAAAAATTATAAGAAGTGGGCCACATGGCACCTTATTGGAGAGGGGACCGAATCTGGGAATGCTAACATCTCAGAGATGATGCGACAGGTCAGTGTCCTAAGACCTTTCTTTTAGGAATTCATATGATTGTCTTTGCTGGGCAGTGCATAGCCCAGCTCTGCTGAAAGCCAAGGTCAGCTCCGACTCACATGAACATCTGAATACGTCTGCATGTATGTTTCTGGTCCTGCTCAGCATCTTCACAGATGTACAAAGCTGACTGCTAAGGGGTCATAGAAGGAGGAAGACAAAGTAAATCCACTGTCACCTCTACTGGGGAAGAATTCAGACTACAGGTCCATAAGCTAAAGCATGGTGTTTTCTTCTTATCTTAAAGACTTCCGGTCTCTGCCTGTCTGCAGTTTCTAGATACCATCTTGCCCTCATTTTACATAACAGGCACAAAGAGGTTAAATAATTTTCCAAATTCTCACAGCTTCAGGTGGTAACTGCTTGACCTCCTCTGAGATCTCTTTATGAAAGTACTTCTCGGTCCCCATCATTGGGCCATTCTTGGTTATGCTGGGGCTGAGAACAAGGCAGGATGCCTACATGGGAGACTGGGAAGGCAGAGGGTGACTCAAAGCATCCCTTCAGTCTGGTGGGTGGTCGGGGAGCAGCATGGATAGATGGGGAGGAAGTAGAAGTCAGGCAAGCCCTGGACATAGTCCTCCAGGTCTAGGCAATGGGCAGCCACTGGAGAGACAGAAGTGAGCTGCTCGTGGTTCCTGAACACCCATGCCTTTGCCACCCTCCTCTGCTGGAGGAGACGAGGGTTGCTTTACGTCATCCAGTAATGGCATCAAATCATTAAAGTACAAATTGGAGGAACGGAGGAGGGAGGTCACAGTACTTCTTTCTTGTGGAGATTATTTCACCTTTGTATAGAGCCATCCTAGAAGCTCCGACTCTCCCTGTGGTTCTATAAATCCATCAATGTTCAAGACTCTGCATTGACTGCTTACGGTTTAGCCTGTAGCTGGTCCCAGTGCGCAGGGTCAAAGGTAAGGGAAAGGTCAGCAACAGCCATAAACAATCCCATGCTGTTGGTGACAGCTTCATCCACAATATGAGAGAGAGAGTCCCACTGGGCTGAGGTGGACGGCTGTGCTTTGGTGGTCTCTTTAATGTCTAGATGTCCTTCCTCTCCATCTTCACTTAATAAAGAGTTTACCCTGCAAGAGGCAAATTGAATATTTTCATTGCATGTAAATCTTTGCCCACATCTTTAATCATTTTCCTAGGATAAATTTCTAGATCTGGCATTGATCCCACAGCAGTGTGTGAGGGCCCAGACTCTTATCAACACTCAATATTATACTTTCCTTTCTGTAAGACAGTAAATCTGATAGCAACAAATAATAACCTATTTAATTTCCATTTCTTAAATTTCTAATGGAACCCTTTGTCCTTGTATTGTTCTGGCCAATTATGTTTACTAGTTCATGAGTTTCTGGGTGTCCTTTGCTATATTCATTAGAGTGTTTGCTTCTTAAAATTGATTTAGTAATATTCCCCATCTGTAAAGGTCTGAACTCCTGGTTCTTCGTACCTGTTTCAAATATTTTTATGGTTTTCTAATACTTTAAACCTCTTTAAAGGGGTTTCTTTTTTATTTTTGTCCATACAGAAGTTTTCATTTTTATGTACTCAAAAATCTATCAGTATTTTCCTTTATGGTTTCTGTCTTTGATCTGGTGCTTAGAAAGGGCTTGTCCATAACAAAACTATGGAAATATTCACGCATGTGTTCTGAAAACTCTTTTATAGCTTCATTTTTTACATTTGACTCTTCAATCTGTCTGGAAACGATTGCATGTGTCTTTGTGAACTGCTGCAAAAACCTTTTAAATGAGTGTGAGTCATTCATTAATTAATATGACAGGATGGGGGAAATTAGCAGAGGGGAAGGGGTTGAGATCTGGGAGAGAGACAGAATAATTAATGGATCAAGGTTTGGAAGAGAAGGGATCTAGTGCTATTGGTAGAAGGTATTTAGAGGGAACTTTCACAAAACAAAAGTGAGACAGTCTCTGAGACTAGACCAAGGGGACAGGAGGCAGCAGAAGTATTTTGCCAGGGCAGGAGTTCAACAGGGAATGGGTAGAGTTGAAGACTGTGAACAGGGTGCCCAAATCCTGTGGGACTGACTGTGGGACAGGGGACAGCAGGGTGGAGCCAGGAGAGAAGGCCTCAATGAGGAGGACCAGAGAATGGTAGGAGCCAGGTGGCAGGAGCCTCAAGGAGAGATTTACCAGTTACAGGTTTATGATGGGGAACCGTGAGACTGGCTGTTCTAGCTCTGAGCCCAGTGTCCTGTGGAAGAAGACCGCGCTCCACTGGAGAGACGTTGCAGGGGAGAGCCAGGGACCAGCTAGGTGTGAGTAGAAGGAACAGACCAAGAAATGGCTGAGGGCATGAGGGAGTTTGTTTACTGTGGGCAGGGCTTTCTAGATTCAGGGTACCATGAAAGATCTGAGAGGGAGGGGGCTGTGGGAAAGATATTCTGTCCCCAGTCCTTGGGAGGAAGTCAAGGAAAGTTAAACAAAGCCCATTTGTAGAGTGCATAGCAGTTCGCAAAGCACTTTCACATGTGAGTTTGCATGAGTGCTTTGCAACAACTCTTCCTTTGGAGCAGAGAGGTTCAGGGATGTGGCCTGGTCAGGATATGAATCCAGCAGTCTCCATGCTCAAGCTTCTGTCCCTGGGGGTAGGTGGTGCTTGGGCCAGGACCTAATGATCTTCTCTCCCCTCTCCCCGCAGGACAGTAGTCCACCCTGAAGCTTCGCTGACCATGAATGGGATGGCCAACGTGAATTCTGCCAGCCGCCCGCACTATGCCTCCTCCATTCCTGTGCCTCGAGCGTCTTCCCAGACCAGGATCCATACACCCGGTGCCTCTCCCCAGCTGCGGCCCCGCCAGGCTGGCCTGGCCCTGAGCCCCCAAAGAGCAGCCTCTGCAAGACTGGGCAAGGCTGCAGGTCCTTCCAGAAACTCCTCCCCCAAGGTCTCCCGGGGCAGAGGCACCCCCAGGGCTGCTGGGGCAGCGAAGGAATCAGCAGAGGATGGAGAAAGCCTCCCCAGCTCTCCCTGGAGCAGTCCCAGGGTAACCCCCAAAGCAGCCCTCTCCAGCCAGGCAGGGTCCAGAAGAGTCAGAGAGGCTCAAGGCACTCATGGGAAGAAGAAGGCCCAGGAAGGGATTCCAACCCGCCAGACCCGGGGCAGGAGCCCGTCCCGGACAAGCTGTCATGGAGAAACCCACATACCAGGGACTTCTGAAGGTCGAAAGCCTCCTAGCTGCCCAGAAAAAGATCAAAGAGACATAAACTACAAAACTTCTGGGATCCTCAGGTCTTTGGAGCCCGACGACAGAGCATCTTCAGGGGCTTCCTCTCCAGTCTGCAGTCCCATGCAGAGCAAGCGCCCCTCCCCGACCCCAGCCATTAGCTTCTCCTCCGTCCATCAGCAGAGCCAGCCGGTCACAGCCACCGTGGCCCCCTTCCAGTACAGGTGAGCTGGGGGAAGAGGCAGGGAAGGAAGGAGGGAAGAAAGGTGCAGGGACCCAGGAACAAGGCCAAAGAGGAGAGGGGCTTTGATGACCAGTGATTGGTGGAGACCAGAGGGCCCCAGTGTATAGGCAGGTGGAGGCCTAAAAACCTGGGGGTTTGGCAAGCTGAGATGAATGGAGGACACAAAAGGGGACCCTAATCCAAGCTCTGGTCTCTCTGAACTCTGAGGACTCTACAACAGAGACTGATAAGAAGGATATCCCTAAAATGTTCCCTTCTCCTGCTGTCTGGGAAATGAAACAATATATCAGGGTATTGTGGATACCTGGGCAGCTAGACCCATACTCAGGTGGGTGGTAGGTGGGTTAGCCTGGCCTGACTCATAGAGGACACTTGCCCACTACACATAAGACAAGTCACATTGTCTTGGGCACTGAGCTTCCAGTTCAGGGTGAGTAAAACTCTGCGTTGATCTCATAATATCTTCTGTCTGTTTATAGGTCTCTCTTCCTCTCTCACTTGCTTCTTGGCTCCACTGATTACATTGTCCTGTGTACATCTGTATGCGCATGGCGTATCGCAGTCAATAATGTTCTCAAATAGATAAAAACTAAGTGTTGTCACCACTGGTAGTGGCGGTGGCTGACCAGTATTTATAACAATGTGGTCAGTAAGTCAGTATCTCTAACCTTCTTCATGAGTTAAGTGTACAGAAAAACAGTCAACTGTGATTTTTATTTATTTTTTTGATACTGATGCTTTACAACTGAGCTACATCCCCAGTTCGTTCCCTGCCCCCCTCCGCCTCTCTTCATTTTGATACAGGGTCCAGCTAAGTTGCTGAGGCTGGCCTCAAACTTGCCATCCTCTGACTCAGCCTCCCAATTGCTAGAGTTACAGGCATGTGTCACTGTACCCAGTTTATCTTTTTGCTTATTGATTTTGGTGTCACTAGGGTGTCACAAGGCTTTGTGCATACCAGGCAAGAACTCCACCACTGAGCTACATCCCTAGCCCCCAACTATGATTTTAAAATAAAAAAATAACTCTTTACTAAAATAACTACATTAAATAAACTAAATTTTAATTACTCTTTATTATACAGTTTAGAAATGCCCAAATGCAAACTAAGTACCTTCATGACTAAACTTGCTTCCTATGTTTTTTTTTTCTTCCTATGCTAATGTAAGGAGTGCTCTCATTTATATTTTGGGTATAGAAAAGCTTGTACATCGTTCCCTAGATACTGGAGCCTCTGAGGCATCAGCATGGTTGGGAGTGGGGGCAGAGAACTACTAGGCACATCAGCCTTCAGTGGAAGCCAACTCGCATGCCTTGATCTCTGAAAAGTCAAGTTCAGTTTTTCGTACCTTCCAGTAAAGGTGACTTTGGGTCCTGGACAAGGAAGTGAATAGTCCCAATCTGTTCTGCATGGGCTCAGGCCTCTTTTAGAGTGCTACGTTCAGTTACGAACACCACATTTTACAAAGACGTTGACGCACGAAAAACACATTTAGAGAAAGACTGGCAGGTTAGTGAAGGATCCAAAAAAGGTGTTATGAGGGTGATTAGAAGAACTGAAGAAGTTTGTTTTGGAAAGGGAAGGCTTAGGAGGGCTCGAGAACTGTTCTCAAATATTTGAGAGCTGTCATGTCGCAAGATAAATTAGATTTACTTGGTGCAGCTCCAAAGGACTGACTCAGCGTCATGGTGGGGAGACATTCGTTCGAAACAGATTTGAGGCTCCATAGAAAGAACTTTCCAGCAACGGGAGGGGAGTACAATTTGACTGTAAGGCGTGAACTCCCTGCAGGGATTCCATCTGATTCTGTGGCCAAAGGGAGTTCTTCTCCGGCAATCCCTGGCTCTCAAATCATCCCTTCGGCCTGACTGTACTGTCCATGAAGTGCAAAAATGTCCCTTTCTTTAAGGAACAACTTACTTCTGTCCCTTGTGACTTTTTTGATTCAGATTCTGAAGCTGAAGCGAAAATTCAAGAAACTCAAGAAATGCAGGACAGACCTTCTTCTTCTCCTTCTCCTTCTTCTTTCTCCTCCTCCTCCTCCTCCCAGGGTCCCAGGCATGTTAGGCAAGCGCCCCTAGCCCTGACCTTCCTTTGACGGGCATTTTTCTCAGTTTAATATTTCTCTGATGATATTTTGACTTTCCTCTCCTGATTCCCTTCATTTTGAATTCATTCTCTGGGAAAAAGTGTCGAGGTATTAAATTGTTTCAGATTTTTACATTATCCACTCGACAAGTCCCATGGTATATTTAGAATCTGGCATTTTCTGAAGAGGTCAGAATATTTCCCTCTGAACATTTCAGTGTAACTTAAACAGAACCGTGTTGCCTTCATTCCGCAAACATTCATTGTATGTTTGCATTTTAAACAGAAATGGAAATACATCACATCTTCCCAAGAGGGGTTTTCTTTGCCACTCTCCTGCCCCAGACTATTCCCATTTCACGCCATGGGTTCGGGTTAGAGGGTCATGGCTCAGGCAAGAGTGAGATTAGGATCAGAGGTACCTGAGACAGTGAAGGAAAGATGGGCTGGGGCCCAGCACACCCTGCAGGACTGAGAGCCTCTGCCACAGGCAGCTCTGCTGGGAGCCTGGCTGGGCCACCCCTCCAAGCTTCGTAGCCAAGGGAGTGCCATCTGCTCCCGAGCATCCACAGACAGCCTGTTTTCGTGGAAATTTGCCCCTGTCCCCAGCTCTTTGGCCTTTTTCAAAGCCCCAGGTGAATACAGAAGCAGAGATTCCTGGGCTCCCTTCCCCATCTTTAGCCCGGTTGAGTCTGACCTGCTTCTCCAGAGGTCAAATCTCTGCCCCATCCTCCCAACAAGCTCTTTTTGAAGATCTGGGCATGATCTTCTCAGTGAAGCTGATCTCTGTGTGCACCACCTCCTCTCAACACCCCCCTCCCTGGACAGGAGGAAGGGGAATGCCCCTGAGGCCACCCTCTGGTCTCACCTGATTCTGTCACATCTCTCACTTCCCTTCCCTTCAAACTTCTGGAAAAAAGGCTATGGCAGCTTCTCCACGGTCGTTACATTCTTCCACTTACCAAAGATTTTCTTTCCCTGACAGATCACTTTGATACGTGATAGAGAATTCCCTTCCCCTGGTAGAATGTTCTATATTACTTTCTCACCAATATGATGCGTTTCTTAGTTCAAAAACCCAAGTTCATAAGTCCACAGTAATTTCTTCCAATAAATCAATCAACTCCAGTTTTTCTTTATCCCCTTGGTAATTTGTGTACCTGGGCAAACTGATGTTCTCATCATGCCAAGCACTCTCAAAAGCCAGGATGAGGTATCCTGCTTTCTCTGAGTTCACCCCATCCCACCTGATCCCCAGCACCCATCCAAGGGGCCTGCAGACACAGGAGAGCATCACGCTGCCTTGAAAGGCTTGGAGAAAGCCAAGTAGTAGCCACAGACACTTCAAGCAACTCCAGATTGTCCTACTGGTCTGGGCCTTGAAGGTCATCCCTTCACCTTGTGATGGAAGCCAGATCCAGAGAGAAAAGATTCCTTCCAGGTTGCACAGTTGAATCCATGACAGAGCTGGCCCCAGAGTCCCAGTCATCTCAGTGTTGAAATAAGTAAAACCTGAAGAAAGACAAATCTCAGCAGCATCAGAGACTCCCAGGGTCCCCTGGCCCAGCCTGTCAGTTTCTCCTCCTGCCTGTAGTCCTCCCCTCCCCCTCCTGCCAAGCTGCCAAAGGGTCCATTTAGCTGGCGACAGCGGGAGGATGGTGGGCGGGCCAGCTCCAAGAGCCCAGAGTAATTGCCTGTAATGAAAGCTCCCACAGCCTTTGTTCCTGGGAGCGATTGTACGGTTGGGGTTGTGCTCAGAGGTTTCTGTGTGCTTGGGAGCTGATGCCCAGAGACCTCACCCTTCCTTCCTGTTGCCACAACTGGCCCAGCATGGACTTGGCCTCCCAGGAGTCACTGTGACCCACGTTGAGCCTACTCCTCCTTCTTTCCTGACCTCCCCGTGCCTGGGTGGTGAGCGAGCCCACAGAGACTGGTGTACCCCCTGAGCATGCACACAGCTGTATGCGTGCACATACTGAGGGCAAAGACCATGGCAAAAGAAAGGAACAAGGCCTGGAGTTGCCGGGAACTCTTTTGCCCTGTGGTGAACCACGTTCCTGGGACTGGGTAGAACACTAAAAGGCTACAAGCATTGGACATCTCAGTGTCTGATTCCTGCTGGCCCAGCTTTGCACAAATGCCTGTCACCTGCTAGAGGCTGTGCCTGTGCACATACCCTTCAGAGAGGCCCAGCTGGCCCAGAAGGGTTCAAAGCACTAGCAAAGGGAAAGAACCAAGCTCAAAGGAAGATTTCTTTGTCCATAGAGGGGTTTTGAGGCCATGCATGAACTATGCTTCTTGGTCCTGCAGGTTACAGACAGACCAGGAGCCGGGTCCCCTCCCCCAAAGCAGCTGGGCCCTCGATGGCTACTCCAGTCCCCCCAGCAGGACTGAGGACAGCTTCTCCTGTATGGGTAAGTGCTCTTTGGAAAAGACTTCCTCCTGGGCTGGGGGCCACTGGTCTAGAACTCTCCTCATTGCCCACATGGAAGAAGTGACCTGGGCCAAATGAGTCCGTCACTTAACAATGCGACAACAGCTTGTGAACCGCATGCACTTGGAGTTTTTACCACACATGACTCAACTCAGGCTTGGTCCGTCCAATCCAGGAGAACGTCAGGGTCAGGATAGAGGAGTGGCATAGGGGTGCTGTGGGATGCTCGGGTTGTGGCGGTCACTGTGTGTGCCTGGTTTGAGGTAATAACAAAACAGTATCAAGCTGGGAGAGTGGGATCCAAGTTCTGGGTGAAGCCAAGCTTAAAAGTGGAAGTGCGGGAGCCAGGGAGGGAGTCCAGAGCCACTTGGCTAGCTGTCTGATACCCTCTTCCTCTCGGGACCATTGTCTCCCACCTGTCCCCTTCCCAGTGTCATCCTGTACTTACAACATCTCACCTGGTGCACATTATTTATAACAACCTCCAGAACCTGAGATTGACAAGACCTTTGAAACTCAAATACTGTGACATTCCTTAAGGACAGAGACCTCTCTTGGTCTAGGTGCATCCTCAGGTCCTCAGAGTCTCTGAATGAATGAGTGAATTAATGACAAGAGATGAGTGAGCTCTTTGTGTACCTATAGCTTGCGTCCTGAGCAGGTCAGATTCTACACTTTCAGCAGTGTTTAGGGGTAATTTGTTGATTTTCTTGCAGCATTAAAAAATATATATATCTAGAATCTGGCAATGATGCACACAAGGGGCACTTAAGACTGCTCACTGTGGGGAACAGCTCTGCCCTTTAGTTTCTCAGACAAAGGAAAACTTATTCCAGAAAAGTAATAAACTTGACTTTGGAAGATCTAAGATTGTCCAGAGGGTTTGTTTTACAGTTTCACTGCAGTACTCTTTTCAAGGGGGCAAAGCTAAGGCTTAGAACTCAGCTTACCCTGGCGTCATTTGACAGCAATGGCATTGCCATCCTTGTTATCTCTGGGCCCTGCTAGGCAGGTGGTCAGGTGTCTCCTTAGCCTGTGAGCCATCTTTGGAGAGGATGACAGCAGTGATATTGGAGCCACTTGGACCCTGGAAACAGCAGCCACATTCACTGCTCCCTGGCAAGTCCCGTGAAGGAAGGCCCTGGGGTGGGGCCTGGGTAGTTAAAGGATGATCCATCTCCTGACACAATAAGCACACACGCAGGGGGATCAGGGCATGGCAGGGGACAAAAGGAAACCAAATTTCACTGGCACTAACAAACCATCAGAATTAGAATGTGGTAACCAGGAAACTATGTGGAGCTCTATTTTTACATTTGCAGTTTTGTTAGTGTAATGGCTTCCATGTGTGTGTGTGTGCCACATTGTTAGTCTAATGATCTCCATTCTCCTAACCAGGCACTTGTTCCTAATTATTATCCCATGAGCTGATGAGAGGACTTTTGCTTTTAAACATCTGTGGCAGACTGGCACTAGGAATCCCCCAGGCTTCTCAGCTGGAAGACCACCCTCGCCAGCTAGCCCTGAAAGTGGCTGATAGATCACAGGTTGGGTGCTCTGCGGGGCATTGGGCCAGGGGCATGTTGGAGGTGAACTTCACACAGAACAGTGAGGAGCACCCGCTTCCTCCAAGGCTCCTAGGGAAGGGGAGCAAGGTTCACAGCGCTGTCTCTGCTCTGGTGCTTGCTGGTTGTCATGGTGATCCATCTTTACTAAGGACACACTGAGCTCTTTGATGGGCTGGATGGGGAGAGCGATGTAGGATTTGCCTTCTTTGTGGGGGAGCCCCCACTCCTCTGAACTTGAAGAAAACAAAGATGTGGGGAAGAGAAGGGACAACTGAAGGGCTCTATTTTATGGCTTGCTCTCCCACTCCCAAACTCACTCAGGACATCACATGATACGACATGACATGACCCATTCATTCATGCATTCTTTTATTTAATCAGCAAACCATCAGTGATTGTCTTGTACCAAAACCTGTGTTTGACACTGAAGTAAAAGGTGAAAAAGATTTTGACCTGCCTTTAAGGAGTTCACAGTACAGGGATTCACTCCAGTTAGACTCACCTGGAGAATTCCTTGGCTTCCCACCCAGTGGCCCACCCAGTGGCCCTTACAGGTTGACCAGGCAGCCAATCAGTCCTACCACCCTCACTGGGCCCTGAAGCACGAAGAGGTTCTAGGATTTTTCTCTTCTTCTTCTGGAAGGAGAACTGGGTGCCTTGGAGAGTATTATATTACATAATTTTATCACTTAAAGAACACCTCGCAGTTATTTCAGTTATTGATCCTGTCATTTCCATACCAATCTATAGACGACAGGAAGCAGAGGGCTTTTCTTGAAGCTCAAATATTCCACTCCCTGTCCATGAGCTTATCCGTGCTGGTGCATGTATAAGTGGTCAGTGATGCTCATGTCCTCTGTCAGCCTGTTTTTGCTGGGCAGCTGAGAAGGAGCAACCAGTCTTTCTCTGCTCTCTTTCCAATATGGTCCTCTCTGGCCTCTAGGCTCACTGCATGGGGGAGAGTCTCTGAGGGGATCAGGGGAAGGCCAAAGAGCTTTCTCCACCTTGTACCACTTTCTTATTGTGCCAGGAGTCCAAATAAGGCTTACAGTCTTTCTACAGCAGGAACGGGATCTCCCAGGCTGACTTGCCTCCAAGCTGAGGTGCTGGGACTGGCCTTCCTAGGTCCCAAGGGCTGTCCACAATCAGCTGTTCCTTCTGCCTCTGCCCTGGGGCAGGTGTGGAAGAATCCAACCCACAGGTGTTTGTGCATGTGCTCTGACCCTCCCCTCCGCCGCCTGGCCCTGATGGTTCCATCTGCTCATGGCCAGTGCCAGGCAGTGCACCGGCCACCATCAGATCTTAATTTGGACAGCCCAGGGAAGCCAGGGCTGGCGCTGCCACGTGCCCACATGTGTGAGGCTGTGTGCAGGAGGACTGGGAAAGGTCGCCCTGGGGTTTACACAGATTCCTTAATTACTTCCACTTTGTGGCATGTTTGAATGAGCGCTAAGTGGACACATAATGAAGGGATCTTTTCTCGTCATAACATGTGTCACCGAGGAAGAAGCCAGCGCCTCCGCTTGCCCCTTCTAGCACAAGGGGTGGTATATATAGAATGGGAGGGGCAGAGCGGAGTTGGGCCTCAGCCTGGGGTTGTTTTACTCTTCTTCTTCTCTTTTCCCTTGTTAAGCTGACTTCATCTTTAAGCCACAATTAAGTTGTTCATGTTCTATGGATTTGGGAGCACGGATAGAGTGCTTATTCTAAGAAAACTTGCACATCTGGTGTGCCCTCGGCCAGGGCAAGAGCAGGCTCTCTGGGAGAAGAGTTTGTTCTGGGAGAAGAGTTTGTTGTGGCTTCTAGGCAGGCTGCAGCTCGGAGGTGTTTGGGGGAGTTTCAAGTCAAATCTAAGTATCGCAGAACGACAAAGGACTTGGAATCCAAGGACACAGGAAGTCACAGCTCTTACAAATTCTATAGATCACTCAAATTTGGCCTCATTTTCTATGGGGAAAGATGATACTCAGAAGAAGTGTCCTGCTCAAGATTGATGTCGAGCTAAAAGCAGGTGAATTGAAACCAGTACCACTCACTCCCCTTTGACTCCCCAAACACTGAAATCACCAAATAGTAATAATGATGACCATTTACTGAACACCTACTGTGTGCTCAGGACTATGTACAAGACAAACTGCTAGATGCTTTATACAAATGCCTTATGCAACCCTTTGAAGGTGGTATTTCTGTTATAGATGAGGAAACTGGGGCTCTGAGAGGCTCTGAAAATTGTCTGAGGACAGATAGCTCGGGGTTATGCCAGGATCTGAGCCCAGCCTGTCTGAAGGTCAAGTTCTCTTCTCCTCCCCTGCCTTCCCATCTGCCACCAGTACTCACTGTGGTAATTACACACTGTCCAAGCTCAACTCAGTCTCCCTAAACCACTGCCAAGTGGTTGGGAAGGAAATGGGGTCAGTGAGCCACAGTCCCTGCTGACATCTCCCTCAACCTGAGTAAGCCCCAGGATGTCACTGGCATTTCTGTCACTCCCAACCTGTGTCATTTCATGCTGAGTTCACACTGCTGCAGTTCCCTTCCCTCTGGGGACTTCCTAGCCAAGACAAGCCTGATGTCCCAGCCATCCGTGGAGAGAGGACATGCAGACAATTGACTAGGAAACAGAACAAGTTCAGGGACAATGACATTAGCCAAGATCTTAAGGCTTGAGCTGCTCAGTGCCACTGTGGGGCAGAGGAGGCTGTGAGTGTGGGGGTCTCTGAAGACCCTTTTTGGGTAAACAGAGCAAATAGGCTTCTAGGAATTTGGATGGGATGTCATAATAATACTGGTAGTAGTAGCTGACACTTAATTGTGGTTTTCTGTGAGCCCGGGCATTGGTCTTACCGTTAATTCTTCTAACAACTATCTAAGGGCTGGAACCTAATTTCCCAATTGCACTGCAGCTGCCTCACAAGCTAGCTGTGCAGTGTTGGAAAAGTTGCTTAATCTCTCTGTGCCTGTTTCCTTGGTTGTAATTGGAGTTGATAATTGGACCTTTCTGTAAAGGTTTTGTGGAAATTAAATGCATTAATATAGGTCAATTTCTTAGAAGACAGTCTGATGCACAGTAGTGTTTAATACATGTTCAGCATTATTTGTGATTGAGGAAAGTGCTGTTATTACTTTACAGATGAGAAAACTGACAGAGGGGTTAAGTGACTTGCCCAAGGTGGTCCAGCCAGGATTTGATCCCAGGCAGCCAGTCTTCAGAAGTCATGCCCTTCACCATTTATGCATGACCTCACTGGAGGAGAAGAGCCACAAATCCAGGGCTGCCCCAGGGAGGCCGGGAGAGGCAGTGAGTGGAATGACCAGCATGACAGAGCCTGGCTCTGAGAGGGGGGAAGAAGGAGACCAGAGAAGCAAGGTCATCTGAGGTTCCCTGTTGGAGGGGTTTGAAATAGAAATGGGA